ATAGGATATTCTTCTCCTCATCATTTCCCATTCATCTTATGGCCTATGCGGATGCTAATTGGGCTAGATGCCCTAACACCCGACGGTCCACTACTGGCTGGTGTGTCTTCCTAGGTAACTCCCTTATCTCCTAGAAGTGCAAGAAACGAGCTACTGTGTCCAAATCTTCCACTGAAGTTGAATACAGGGCTATGTCTTCCGTGTGTAGTGAGATCATATGGCTTTGGGCTCTTCTATTTGAAATACTAAATGAGCCATCATTGCCTGTTCCTCTTTATGCAAACAATATCGGTGCAATAAAAATTGCATCCAACCCCGTCTTCTATGAGCGCACCAAACACAAGAAGTTGATTGCCACTTCATTCGCAATCTCCTTCTTGAGTGTACCATATCTCTTCCCCATGTCTCTTCCGGGTTTTAACTAGCAGACTTGTTGACTAAAGCAATGGCACGGGCTCGGCATCTATTTCTCATGGACAAACTGATGCTTGTTCCTAAGCATCAGTTTGAGGGGGAGTGTAGAGGCAATGAAATCTAGCCGTAGGGCTATTTTTGTACTTTTACTTTTCTTTGTTGTATATCTATTCTTTGTATTATCTCTCTCTTGTACATTAAGGGCAGATCTGTCCTTTTACAACTTAATATAAATATATCTTTTAGGGTGTCGATTGATACAAGGTATCACACCCACCATTCTTTGTTCTCTCTCTGTCTGTCTCTCTCTTTCTCTAACTTTCGAACCGACTCTGACAATATTATTGGGGGAGGGGGGCTGTTTTGGATAATTAACTGAAACCGGGTTTCTAGCAAACTAGTTGAAATGATCTCTGAATCATCAAAAAGGTTAACAAAGACAGGGAGATCCAAGAATCAAGACAGTAGTTCCATCAATACAACTCTTTTTTCTCTCTTCTAGTTGTCAAGGTGATGCATAGGTGTTTGCCTATGTGATAAAGCCTAGTTATGGGATCACCTTGGAGTTTCCATATGGAGTGCAGTGAAACCATACAATATTGTATATGTACAAGGGGCATAATAAAATATCAATTTTCAACTTAGAGAGCCATCAAATAGGATTTACCCCTTGGTTTGTTCTTTTCTTTAAAAAATTAAAGAAAAAGTCCTCTCTATCCAAGTGTGACCAGAATGCCCTTTTATTTTATTCCTTTTTTTTTGTGTAATTAATACACCTGTAAATGCACTCCTATATATCTTTGTTGCATTCAAAATGGCAAGGATCCCATCCCTTCATATCTTTGTTTTGTTATAGTCTCTGACTTAATGCTCACATAAATGAAAAGTATGCATATATACAACTCCCAAGCAGTCCTGCAAGGTGACAGCTATCACCATGCTCTTTTTCATTTCATTCCTTGGTTTCTTAGGCTACCTGATGTTGTTTTAGTTCTACTTATAGTGTTTGATAAATTATTTTGTGTTAGATCACGTTTAATGCTTTCTAGTTCATAAACCAACAAGGGAAACAAGTTAATATCCTAAAAGCAGTTTTAAAAGAACTAACCTCATTGATCTGTTTACTAGTTACCTCCATCCACAGTTAAGAATTAAATATTGAGTAAAAGAAAGGATTCAGAGGTCATTTATTAGTACTGTTCAACAGGAGATTCAGATAAGCACAGGTAAGTGCTTCTTTGGCATTGATAACAACCTAAATATGGAGCAAAAGAAGATGCATAAAGTTTCTTCTATTTCTTCTGAACTCAAACCCAATAATTTATAAATATTGACTAGTTTGAGGGACAGATCTAATTAGTTTAAGAAAGCGATAGGATGATTTCCAGGTTCAGAACTTCAGATTCAGGTAAGAGAAATTATGCATCATGAGGCACTGCAATGGGTTCTCAAATCCAGCAATTGTTGTTAACTGTCCTTCACAAGTGATAGCATGCCTAGCGCCAAAGTTGTTTCCACAAAAACTGTGACAAGTCAAATTTTGAGACTTTCCCATTAAATGCACTCACTAGATGAATACTCTGTCATTTTCTAAAACTTATACTAGCTGTAGCTGGTATATAAGATGATCCAAGAAGACAATGAATATTTTCTTAGAGGATCTGAGAACCCAACTGATCAAAGCACAATAGCCCAACCCAAAATTTCAAAATTAAAAATAATAATCCACAATCCTCTAATTACACTCTGCAATATGACAAAAATAAATTAGAAACAAAAACCTAATTGATCTTTTATGTCAATCACTATTTAAGGCCATACCCCTAATGCCCAGGGGCACACAAGCACATTTCTTCCCCAACTACAGATTACTAGCAATATCTTTGTCAATGAAAATCTTTGATGCTCTTGAAATCAAAGAGAAAAGGAAAAACAAAGGAAATTAAATATCTTGCCATACTGTTCTGCCCCCATAACTTGCCACATGTCCCATGTTTCAAGCATTAGAACCCACCACACCAGATGGATCCCTAAAAGATTAGCTGGGCCAAAAATCAGCTTGTACAAGAGGTTATAACCCTCTGATATTACTGCATGTAAATGAAAGGTAGAAAATTTCTCTTAAAGTTAAAAACTAGCTCTATGGCTACAAATAATACCTAAATTAGCTCTATAATGCTAATATTTTGCATACTGTCTGTAAGGACTTTTGAGGGGTGGCTGTATTGAGCATACTGTTTCTCTCTGTACAGTTCCTCATTGTACAGGGGCTATTTGATCTTAATGAAATACTTTTACCTTACAGTTCAAAAAAAAAACGCTAATATTCCGCCTTGTTTTTTGAGCCTAATTGGATAATGGTAATTCTTTAAAGGCTGAACTACAGGCCTTGATTCTGGGGCAACAGTTGATGAGCATGATGAAAATGGGGAACATGGGGGTGGATGGTGATTTCAAAACCATAATCTGCTGGATGAGATCCCTTGCAAGTTCAAGCCATTGGTCAAGCAAGCACAAATTCTAGGTACCAAGTTTACAACTTGAATAGTTCATTCAACTGGGTGCCTAGAACTGCAAATGTTTTGGCAGACATTTTAGCTAGGGCTGGGGCTCCTATAATCATTTGGTGTGGGGTTGTTGGACTGGATTGTAATTTGTAACAGATCTCTAGTTGTATCTTTCTGCTTCTTTCTGGAGCTTGCTCTGTGCTCTCTTGACCTGCCGTCCACTTTCATGGACAGTGTGGAATTTTTGCTTTAATGAACTATTTCTATTATTTATAAAAATAAAAGGTGACAAAATGTTAGAGAAATGGAAGAGTAAACATTTAGATCATATTAGATGCACAAGGTGAAGATCGAAGAGTTTCGGTAAAGAACAAGGACATTAAGGAGAGGCAAAGAAGTTATTTCGTAAAGAAAATGCCTAATGAGTGGGGGAAAATTACAATGATTATATAAGAACAAAGATAATATACAGAGTTGCAATGATTACCATGGAATTAAGATACTGGAACATACTTTCCCTGTGGAAAATGAGAAACTATGGCAATTGGCAAAGAGTAGTGGCAGTATTCATGGGCTATCAAGAAATGGCTGGGATGCAGAATGTCTGCAAATAGCTACTCTGACTATTCCTTGATAAGCAATTCATGGCACTCTTCCATCTTTCCTCAACCATGAAAGGTATGACTTGGCTTCTGGTAGTAAAATAAGATTCTGAGAAGATGTGTGGTGGGTGAATCCCCTTTGAAGGATGTCTTTCCCTCACTCTTTGTTCTTTCTAGTCTCAAACATAAACCTGTGGCTGACTTTATAGAACCTCATCCTTCCTCTTCTGGGTTGATTTGGAATTTGGAGCTTACCAGAAATCTGAGAGTCAGAAATCCCCTTGGTGTCTAACTTGTTGAGTGTTTTGGAGTTGGTGACCCTTGTGAATGATGGGAGGGATGCCGGGCGGTGGTCTCTTTCCTCTACTGGGCAGTTTTCTTTGTAGTCTCTATTTAGCTCCCTTTTTCTACTTCCTCTCCCCCCACTTTCCCTGTGAAAGAAATCTATTGTGTTCCTATTCCTCCAAAGATTAGTGCATTTTGCTAGGAAGTGTTCCATGGGTGTATTAATACTTGTGATTTGTTGCAAATGAAAATACCAAATTGAGCCTTGTATCCCAACTGGTGTTTTCTGTGTAAATTGAATGGTGAAACTACTTTCCACCTCTTAACTTAATCTCCTGTCCTTTCATTTGCTGTATTTGGGAATGGTTTTCTTCTCTTTCTGGTTGTAGGTGAAATCAAGGTTCTAAATATCAATAGAGAAAGATATGCCGATTGGGGCATATCGACCTATATCAAGCTGCGCCTTAAATTTTTTTTTTTAGTTTTTTTTCAAACTGGTTCAGGGGTCAGTTTAAAAGCACAAGGTAAAAAAAAGGTGTAGGGGTCAATTTGCACCCGAGGCGCAAGGCAAGGTGCGCGCCTTTCTGAAGCAAGGAGCAATAATTAAAAATAAATAAAAAGCTAAAAAAATCAAAAAAATCAAAAAAAATCAAAAAACATTAAACATAATATTAATAAAAAATATAAATTTTAAATTTTAAAATAAATGTTTTAAAAACCTATTATCTAAAATTAAAATACATAAACATAACATGTAAAACATATTCACATGTGAATTTTAAAATAAATCAAACATATAAACCATTTTCAAGCATGTAAAACCCACAATCTCTTTTTTTCCTCAATTGCATTACTTAAAGTAGCTAATGTGATGTAAAATATATTACATTCCTGATTCTACAAACCGCCTTTGTGCCACGCCCCTTGAGGCAAGCCAAAGTCCTAGTGTCCCAACCATCATATGCATGACCATGAATACTTAAAATTACCCTCGTCCACAATTTAACTCTTATTAAGTCTACCCTAGCAAATCTTCCAATGTACTACATGTCAGGATTTAGGATGCCACAAGAGATAGTGAGGATGCCTAGTCACCTAGGTGACGCCTTGATAACTACGCCAACTATACAAAAGTAATTGTCTTGAATGTAAATAAATCTTGTAAAGCACAATAGATGAAGAAAATACCAACCTCCCCAATTCCAAAGCTGCCCCTCTTTAGTCAGTGCCATTGTAAAAAATCCTCCACATGACACTGCAACCACAGGCACAGGTAATGCTTTTACTTTGGAAGGAACACTAAGTGCACCCTCATTCGGGCCACGACCAGAACCAAGGCCCAATCTACCATCACCTTCATCTCGACCCCATGTATAAAGTTCACCTACATCAAATGAATAAAAGCAATGATATTTGGTACAATGTGCTGTTGAAGGTTTTCATACAAACCCCATTCAAAATTGCCAATTGTAAAGTTTTAGGTTAGCGAATGCAAGTATAGTTTCTCATTTTGTGTGAATTCAAATAGACAAAGTCCAGTAGTAACTCCTTCCTAGAACAATGGTCAGCAAACCTGAATCTGTTACAGCCGCAGTATGAGCCCCACTGGTTGCAATTTGGCAAATCCTTCCATTCCAATCACCTTTCACCTGTCTTGGCAATAATTCTCTATGATAAACAGAATGCCCAAGAGCCCCAAATCCACCATAGCCCCTGCAAACTTTACCCTACTGTCTGTAAAATCATTACATTACGCAACTTCAAAGAAAGAAAAGTTCACATCAAATGTAATTGGATATTAAAAGGAGGGCAAGGAACGATGCTAAATGAAGTGATATCTTTAGAATTCTATGTAAAAATAAAAATCCTCTACTGATGCATTACCGACCAAGTAAAGACTTCGCCAAGGGCGGTGAGCGCAACAGAATGAAGTCCACCCGGAGCGATACTTCGGACATTATCAAGATTAGGGTTTAGAGTTGGAACAAATGCAGGGTTTTCGTGACCAAAGCCGAGGCGACCACCTTCACCTTTACCCCACATCCAGAAATTTCCATTAACGAGTAGAGAAGAGTGGAAGAGGCCACATGAGATGCCAACCTCCACAGACGACTGTGAGGCTTTGAAATCTGATGCATCGGAAGGAGGGAGGCGTCCAGGGATAGGAGAAAGTTGGAAACTGGAGGGCAGGGCAAGAGAGGCGACAGGAGTTGGGTATAGTCGGATTTCTTCAATGCCACCGCCGAGTTGGCCTGAGGCACCTCGGCCCCATGACATGAGCTGGACGGTGGTGGACTCTTCTTCAGTTTTCCATAGCAGAGGAACCTTAGAAGAGGACGATGAGGCGGACGAGAAGTAGCGCGCTAGGGATGAGCAGCGTATGCGATGCGCCATCAAACTTTGCAGCCTCTTCCTTGTTTGCTGGGATGTCCCAAGAGGTTTAACCACCGAAGGAGACGATGCTCAGTAATGGGTCGGCTGAAGCTCAGCCCGCACCAAATTCACACAAACCCACCCATATGGCCATCCCTTCAGAGATTGTCTCCGGAAAACCTCCTGCAGTGTGAACTCCTCAATCAAACAGGATTACAGGAATACATGTCCCGAACTCGTGTGACATCACTTCCACGTGCAACCTCTAGCTCGCGGCCTCGCTGAAGGGGAGAACGGGAGGGTGAGCCGTGACCGTGAGCAACTCCATCTGCTAGACTCATACTTAACTGAAAGAGAGGCTACTGCTCTGAAACGGAGAGAGAGAGATGCCTCTGCAATCAGTTGAAGAAATCTGGTAAGCCTGTGTTCCTTCAAGTTCTAAATCAGTTGAAGGAATGAAAGACTTCGAAGATCCCAATTCCAATATCTTACCATTTCAAAGCCCCACTTTATATATTTAAATAAATGAGCAGCAGTAAACACCATGATGAGCAAGGGTGAAGGGATTGAACGCACGAATCATTTTCAACTACTAAAGTGGCAATTGACTATGTTCACCTCTATAGGGCCTCGAAGGTGTAACTAAAAGAGGAGAAAGAAAGAACAAAACTACGAGACTGGCACCGGGTAGCGATCACAGCAAAGTTCTTGGTCGTCCTCCGCAAGCACGGCAACCATCAACTCTAGATTAGGGCTGATATTAATGAATAATGACGTTATAGTTGCTTTGGCGCAACCAGGCGAACACGGTGGTGACGGATGGTGCAAAAAGAGAGAATATTTGAATTTGATCAAATATTCTTGAATTTGGAATATTTGAATCATCAAGCATTACTATATCATCATCTTCCCCCTTCTGCTCACTGGAACTAAGCATGATAATAAGGAAATCAATGGGTTGGACCAGACTCCATATTCTGGATTCCCTCCAGAATCCCTTTCATGGGGGAGCAAAACTACAATTTGGGACATTATGTAATCAACCATATGACAAAAATCTTCGTGAGATGGATTAAAATATTAGCATATTTCTATTTCACAATTTCCATCAATTACAGTTTTAACTTGTTATTATAATCTCCCTTTTGATGGGAGACCTAGGATTAATAACCTTTCCTGTAACAAATAATTCTTTTTCTTTCTTTAAGAGCATCTAAAATTTACAACAAAAATAGAAGTGGTCTATGCAGAAGTTGATCATTTTGATATTTTCATTTCATCAAGAATTGATATAAGGCCAACTTCGTTTATGATGCTTCATCTTTGTTATAGCTTCATGTATGGTCTGTCATGGAAATGAGCATCACTGCCAACCAAAAACCTATAGGTCCCTTCTTTAGTCTCCAACCAACTAAAGCCTTCCCTTTTGGGGACACCTTTCTCTCTCATTGCTCTCCTAACCTCTGCAACACTGTCTAACCTACCCTTTTCTGCATATATACTCGACAACAACTTCTGGAAACCACCCTCATTTGGCTCAAGCTTGAATAGTATTTCTGCTGCAGTTTCAGCCTCTTCAACATTTCCATTAATCCTACAAGCACCAAGCAATGCCCCCCACACACTAGCACCTGGTTCCATTGGCATTGATGCAATTAAACCTTTTGCCTCTTCTAGGCGCCCAGCTCGTGCAAGAAGATCAACCACGGACCCATAATTCTCCTCCATAGGTACAACTCCATATTCCTTATGCATTGCTTCAAAGTACCTGACACCCTCCTCTACTAGACCCGCATGGCTGCATGCTGAGATCAGAGCAACAAATGTGACATGATCTGGACTTATATCTTTCTCTCTTGCCATGCCTTCGAAAACTCTGATTGCATCTTTCCCATTACCATGCATCCCATAACCATCAATCATTGAAGTCCATGAAATCCTATTCTTCTTGGTCATTCTAACAAATTGGTTCTCAGCATATTGGAGCTTTCCACATTTGGAGTACATATCCAATAAACTGTTACCTACCAATGTATCTTCATCTAAACCATTTTTAAGAGCATAACAGTGGATCTTCTTGCCATAGAGGAGTGAAGCAAATCTAGCACATAGTGGAAGAACAATGGCCATGGTGACAGAATTTGGCTTGACACCACCATATTGATACATAGATTGGAACAAAGTCCATGCCTCATCAATACAATTGTTCTCCACATATCCAGCAATTAAGGAGTTCCACATTGCCGTTGAATTACATTTTTCATAGATCTTACCCATCTCAAATAATTGACGAGCATATAGCATATAATTGCACTTGCCATACATGCCAATCAAGGCTGTAAAAACAAATGCATCTGGCTCCATCCCTCTCCTAATTATGAAACCATGAAGTTCCTTACCTAGTATCAAGCTTGGCATGTCAGCACATGCTGTTATTAGTGTGGTCAGTGTAACATAGTTGGGCTCAGAGCCGTCAGAAGCCATCTCCCTGAAAGTCTCAATAGCACGAGAAGGGCACTCATTACGTATGTATGTTGCTATTAGTGTAGACCAACCCACCACACACTTGATCACCATGGAATCAAAGACAACCCTTGCCAGTTCCTGAAAACCACAACGACCATACATATCCACAAGAGCGCTTCCAACAAATACATCATTCTCAATATATGTGCTTATCTTTACAGTGTACGCATGGACTTGCACCCCAAAATGGATCTCTCTCAACTGCCCACAAGCAGAAAGAACACTAGTAATGGTGTGAGAATTGGGCAAAAGACAAGAACATGTTTCATCGACTTCGCCTCCCATTTGCTTGAAAGATAACAAGGCATCCTCAGGCCGACCGTTCTGAGTATAACCTGCAACCATGGCGGACCACGTGATGTCATTTGGATTTTGTGTTAATTTCATCTGATCAAAGAGTTGGCCTGCCCCACCGCAGTCGCCTGCATGGAAGAAACTAGAAATCACCGTGTTCCAACAAACGGGATTGGGACATGGGATTTCATCGAATAGCTTGCGTGCATTCTGCAATGAACCATATCGAGCATACGCACTTACTAAGGCATTGGTCACATAAGGGTCGGAGTGGATGAACCCACGCTTGGTGGCATCTGCATGGATGGCTTGGCATTGATGAAGGGAAGGGGAGTGAGAAGAAGAGAAGGATTTGAGAAGAAGCGAGAAGGTGAAGGAGTTGGGTTGGAAGCCTTGATTTCGGATTCGTTGATAGAAAGCCGTTAGCTCCCGCCATTTTCCTTGCTCGAGGTAGAGGTTCAGAAGGGCGTTGGGAGAACCCATTTAAAATACGGTTACCCCAACGGCATTCTTGCAAAGTGGCAATTGAATTTCACAAATGTGGTGATCCGATAAGTATGTTTGGCTTTGGTTGATCTCGCTCCCCTGGAGAGAGAAAGAAGCGTAAAATAGTACTGTTATGTGGATGAGCAGTTAAACCGCGGTTCACGTTCACAGTTAACATCACAGATCACACGATTAGGCATCCCCAATCCCCCAAAGTGAACTCACAAACACGTTATACGCCCCTTCGCGTGTGCTTTATGTACACATCATCAACCATTAGGGAAGCTTCATTTTATTTCTCAGCTTTTGAAGACAAATCAAGTACAAATATTTATTTAATAAAGGAAAGTTATACCAAACACATACTTAATAGAAATCTTATGCCGTGCTAGACAAATTTGAATTTGAATAATTGGTCTAAATATAAGAACTAAGGCTAACTTGAATTTAAAATTGTCTTAATTAAAGAGTTAATTAAGAATTAGTGCTTTAGTGTAGGAGTCAATGAGAGATATTAATGAGTGTGATACAAATTGTCTTTGAAATTTTACCTTAGGCTACGCTTGGTTGTTGTGCAAATTTATTGCATCGATGCAAAATTATGGCAGTGCATATGATTTAAATTTGTTTCAATCTTCACCTTATTCTATTTGATTGCATTAAAAAATTAAGTAAAAATAAGACCTTAAGCATAATAAAGTAAAACCCTAAACAAAATTAGGGTATGTTTGTTTGCAAGGAATTCTAAATTTTGAATGCCTTTGAAACTGTAATAATTACTTTTAAAGGTGTATTAGAATTGGTAAACTTTTATTGACTCTGAAGCCTATAAAGAATGTTATTATGATATTTGAATGTTGAGTTTTGAAAAATGACAATTGACCATTTTAACCTTGGATAAGAGAAAGTTTGTTTAATTATTTAACAAACTAATTAACAATTAATAAAATAAATACAAATAATGGAATTGAAAAAATAATAAATAATTAAATATTTTTTAAAATTAAGAAATTATTAATTAATTAATAAATATTGAAAATGAATAATTACGTAAATATTAATTAATTTTTAATATAACTATTAATAATTAATTACTTAATTATTTTTAAGACATTAAGCATTAATTAAATAATATATTTAAAATATTTAATTATATAAATTAATTAACTAACAAATAAAAATTATGTATTTCATAATTAATTAATTAATTAAAATAATAAATTATTAAATAATTAAATAGATAAATAAAAATACATAAATAATTAATAAAGTAATAATAATAATAATTTCTAAATTATAGTATATGTGAAAGGAAAAAGCTTTTGGAAGTAATTTTTGGAAAACAAAAAGTGAAGCTAATGGAAAACAAGGGATGATGTGACGTTTAAGGATGAAGTGAAAACATGATACTAAATGCACTTATTGCCTTTGAAAATGTATCAATGCTTTTCAGCATTAAAAAGCAATAAAGAGGCCCTTAAACTACAATTCGCATTCTTTTCATCTGTACTCCCATGCATTTGTACTAGCACAAATAAAATTGCACTGCAACCAAACAATACAGCCTTAAGTATAGGAATTGATTAGACTTTAGTGTGTAATTATACAGTTTATATGTAGAAATTAATGAAAGAAAATGGAGAAAAACAAAAAAAGGGAGAATTTGCGATTTCTCAGCCAATATCGGCCAATGCAGATGGATATTATGAAAATATCAGTTGATACTGCAAATACAGGTGGAATAAATTTGAATTTCAACCATTGATATTTAAACCTTGCATATGAAATCTTAGCAATTTGCATTTTCACAAATTAGCAAGTTTGGGGATTTTAAAGTATCTTAAATCCTTTTCTGCTCATCTTTGATTTGGCTGTGATGCCAGTATACCTCATGCAAGTTTCAGATATCACTGGTTTCACCCAAATGCTCCAAAGCTTAAAAAAAAAAAATTCAAGGAGACGTATCTTGGTATCTGGACAAACCAATGGAATTAAGATCCATAAAAGATATACTCAATGCCAATCTAGGGTACATGATTGGAAAGAGAAACCTCTTTCAAAATCAGGAAAGGAGGTTCCAATAAGAGAAACTGCTGCAGCTATCAACTTATCAATATCCTGTTTCTTATCTCCATAGTCTCTCTTTATCTCCTCGGGTAGCTTTTGGTGGGATCAACCACCATAGGTGATTTGGTGTTTGTAGGAAAAAAAAAAAAAGAAAAAACTTCTGCATCTGAATAGTTTTTGGAGCAGAAGTTTCACTCTGCTATCTAGTCAAAGTTATTAGTTGACTTTAAAAGATGATCAAGATTCTTGGAAGCAACTACAAGGATCGTGGAATGGATAATGCACCAAGAGAAAACTTCAAGAAAATACAAAGGTTGTCAAGTTACTATATCTCTAATAAATTTCGTTTCCATAACCTGCGAAGTTGAATAAATGATACAAATTTCATCTAATGGCTAATTCCTATTTACGTAACCAAAAACAGTGATAAACCATATAGGCAAAAAATTCACAACTAAAACAATATCCTCTCTTGATAAATCTCCAGTGCTTGGCTGACCTTTTCTATAAACAACTTCCTATGCAGACGGTACCTGCAGGAGCGACATTTTTGTTTAATAAGTAAACTTTGGCAGTTCATTCCCCAAGGCTCAAGGTGATTTAACAATGAAACCCAAAAACAAATGATAAGATAATCATAGGGCTACATACTTAATTGCAGCTTCAAGTGTCCTCCTTGCTTGTGGCATAGAATCTGTTGGCAGTAAAAGCAAATTAGGAACAAGCTTCAACTGGACCTTAATTTATGACAACTGGATCAAGTCTGTAGCTAATTGGTTGATGTATTTCTAAAGAACCAGTGAGAGGGTCCAAACCAGCTTGCCCAAAAAAATAGAAAAAAAAAAGTTTGAAATAGCCTTATTAATAATATTATCTTTAACATCCTAGGTGTTTGGAAGCAAGACCATAATTAGAACTTATTGGGTCCATGCCCAGTCCACCCCTCTCAAGACCCAGATGATCAGGGTTAGTATTGGATAATGGCTGTTTTTAATTTATCCCTTTTGAACATGCATGATCACTATGCATATTATCCTCAAAATATTCAATTGAATGTACTATTGTTCAGATGATTTCAGATGATACAGATTGGATGGAGCTATCCATGAATCAAAACTCCATTCTGAATAATGGAAACTGCATGGTAATACCTAAGATCTCTTGATCTTCATATGAAGTCGTAGGGAATTCAGCTAGCATAAGTTGGCATTCTTCTTGTAACTCCTTCACAGCCTTTCTTTCTTGGCTTGGAATTGGAGGCATATCGCCATCTGACCATGTTGGCAATGTCCTTGCTGCCGCAATGACTGCTCCATCAACAAATCCATCTCCACCATTTGACAGCTTACCTGCTACAAATATTGGTAATTCTTATGGAATAGGCATACATAATCAAGTAACTAAAATGGTTGTAAATAGTAAAAAAATAGAAAAAAAAAGTTTGCAAAACCCATACTGTTATGATAATATTCTTCAGGCAGGCCAGATATATTGAAGACTGACAAGAAGGAATCCAACTGAATTTGTGAATTGCCAGAAAATTGGATTACATCCCAAGGGTTCTGCAAGAATCAAGCAGGTCACAAATATCTGAGTATATTTAATTGAAATAAAGTTCATTTTTTATTCAATCCAAACAAATAACTTGCAGAAAAACTACCCTCTATGTAAAAGTAGAAGCGGTTTTATTTTGAAATTCCACACCAGACAAATGGACAGATTCTTGCCACTTCATGGTACATTAATATGTAAGGCTACTTTTAACTCTGGTCAACCACATAGTTCAATTGACAAATTATCACTAATGCTGAATCAAGAGCCACTGGACAAATATGATCATCCTTTTGAGTGGTAAAGATTAAAAAGATTTGATTAACATGATGGAATAAAGATTTCAAGAAGAGGATATACATGATGGGCAATAACCTTTAGCCCACAATGCCATACAAAAAGAGATATTCCATATATGATATCTGAGGCAATGAAGAGCCACTGTACATCCTTCTCTATTTACTCACAATCTTGCCAACATTCCATCCATTATATCTGTCTTATTCCAGTTCCCACCAATTTGGGAGATAGGCCCCATCCAAGAGGAAATGCAACTTTAACTTGTAGGTTTATTTTTTCTGAGGTGGGTTTTGGAATGTAAAAAACTGGCTGTAGTGCTAGCCAGCTTCAGTTTCCACTAGAGTATAAAGTGAAATGAAAATGGAATCTCTTACGTATTGGTAAAATGTGCTGTAACCATAATTTTTACATGTTTTGGAGAACATAAAAATAGATAAACTGATCATCATCAAAAACTTATCCCAAGTTCCCAACTATACAGGTTGGCTACATGAATCCCGTTTCGCCATTCCATTCTGTTTACCCTTGTCCTTTTAGGTCTGCTCATAGCCCTTCTAGCCCCTTCAACTTGTAACTGACCACTTTTTCTTACAGGTTCTGTAAGTGGTCCTCTGTTCAGATGAATCACCTACTGGAGCTACTTCTAGGTTCCTACGAATGACTTCATTTCTGACATAAAAATAGTAAACTAGAATGTGGAAATTTCTGGAGGTCAGAAACACAAGCTAGTACTTGAGGGGTTGAGACTGGCAATGAAATCACGTTTTCAAAGCTTGATCATTTAGGGGGATTCACAGACTATCAGTTAGTGTAGAAGGAAAAATGGCAGGACTGTAGTAAATGGCAACTAGAGCATCAAATCAGAGAAACATGGAAACCTGTCTCACATTCTACAAGCAGAATTTTCTTGGGTTTCTCAGTCTGCTAATTTTATTGCCGACTCCCTAGCCTATGAGGGGAGTTATCAGAGAGTCAATGATGTGGGCAAGGCATCCATTTGGACTGAAATAAAACCTTTGATCATTTGATGTGGTGTGGGGCTCCATTAGGGGCAGGGGAGAGTAATAATGGGCTAGCTCCAACTGATCTGTGTGAAAAGTGAAATACATGGAAAATTGTATTATTTGTTTTTGTACTGTATGGTTCATATTATAGATAAATATATTAACAGTTAATCATCAAAAAAATCATAAAAGAAACAGGAGGACCAATTACAGCACAAGAAACACAGGAAAAGGCTCATGAATGATCAATAAAAGAAACTGTTTCACAGCTTACAAGGTCAAAAACTTAACAGGGACATTGAGGAATAACAAGTTTAAACATTCTGCCCTTCTAAGAACATAAAGTCCCAAGCTAGTAATTTCCAGAGTGTCAAGGATGTCCAAAATGGTTAGGTAGTAGAATCTACTAATTTCTGGTATAAAATTAAAACTAGATTAAATCATGAAAATAAGAAAGCATACACATATAGAAGACAAGATTTAATGTGGTTTGGCAATGGTTGCCTACATCAATGGCTGAGCCTCCGCAAAGATTCACTATAATCTCTACTGGAATTAAAACCCTAGCTTCTCCTTTTAGTCCCTAAAGAACTAAAGTTTTCCTCTCATGAACCCTAATTATTGGCACTACAAGGAATACCTATGATATAGGCCATTCAATACATAACATCTGAAGTATGAAAAATTACATAATAATGAAAAATAGTCCAACCCACACTATTATGTCAGGTAAGTCTTCTCCAGAAAATTATTTTTATTGCCATAGTCCATAGAAATGCGTACTGCTTAACATGAAAGACTTGCCTTTCTTTCATTTCTTCTTTAAAGGAATATATACTCAATAAATAAGCACATATTCATAATAATGAAAATACAAGTAAACAACTTCTAAGAAGCAAGGCCTAGGGCAAATACCACTGATGATGAAAAACCATAGCGCTGCATGAACATGTTATTCCTCTTGCCATGCATATAATTGATTGTCATCTATGCAACATTGCAAAAAACAAATTAGTAAAAGAAAAAGAATGAAACTAACCATGTGGTAGAACTGCACAAAGGAAATGCCAACTTAGATTATAAAAAACAAAGAAAAGGATATGGGTTTTGAGAAAATAATAATCCTGCTTAATTGATGCTCCATGCACCTATCAATTGAATAAAAAATGTATGTTGTGCAAGCAGTATTTTAAAAGTGAGTAATGGCCCATGCCCATTAAAATTGAATAGTCAGGACCATCATTGAGTAATGGCCCTTAAAATTCTACAATCCCCAAAAGGAACTTCAGGCCATCTAACATTCTACCGCTTCCAATCATCAAAGAAGAAAAGTATATCCTAATGTGTTGAAGATTTAGTCAGTTTGTGTTGTTTTAAGAGTAGTTGTTTTATGTTAATTGTTAGATAGGAAGTGGGGACCACAGCAGTTATGTTGGGTCCATTATTTATTATTTCTTGAAGTCTTTTATGTGCTTTTTAGTGTTTGCCACCCTATAAGGGCATATTAGTCATTGTATACTTCTTGTATTTCTAATATAAATATTAAGTGAAGGGGGCGGCAAGATATAGCTCTCTTTTCTTTCTCAAGTTCTCTTCTTCTTTTCTTCTTCTCTCTTTCTTCTCTTCTTCAAGAAAATATTTTTTTCTTTCACAATTTTTTAATTCCGCAGGTTTCTACTTGGTATCAGAGCTTCGACTAAGGTTCTTGGAGTTTTCTCATGCAGCCTTTGAGCGGCTGACTGCATGAGGTGATAAAGGGCTGATTGATCTACTACAAATTGCCCAGTTCTTGGATTTTTTGGTGAGATCTAGTCATCAGGAAGGTGATCTACTTTTCGTCATCAAATCAGGAAGAACTGGAGTACATGGAAGAGTCCTAAAAAAGCTGGAGTCTTGTTTTTTATCTGATCTTGGGCGCTCAAGTATCATTGGATTTCTCTTGTTTTTCTGTAGGGGGCGGTTAGGTTTCTGGAGTTTTTTGGGCCTCCTGGAGTGGCCAATTCACTTTTCTCTCTAGTGGGAAACAGTGGGAGGAAAGAAATTTCTCTCCGGATAGGGTTTTCTTCTTTCGGAAGAGTTTGTTCCTGTGTGTGTGAGATCGAATTGCTCTTGGAGGCTCTCAACCTATTTTTTCTTACTGTTGAACTATTTGAAGTACGATGGAGAGTTGGAGTACCGAGCTGAAATCCACCGGTACCATGGGACTGGGCGTTGAAGGTAGTAGTGATATTTTTGGGTCTGGAATCATTACTATAGTGAAGCTTGATGGTACAAATTATTTAGAATGGGCACAATCAGCCAAAATGGCTATTGGTGCCCATGGAAAATTAGGGTACATCACTGGGGAGGAGAAGAAACCTAATACAGATTCTTCTCGATGGGTACAGGAGAATTACATGGTGATGTCCTGGCTATGTAATTCTATGTTACCTCACATTGGCAAAAATTTTCTATAGGCTAATACTGCAAAGGAGATTTGGGATGGAGTTATTGAAACCTATTCTCAGAAGTAGAATGTAGCCAAAGCCTATCAGTTAAGGAATCAGGTGATTAGTATAAAATAGGGAGATAAACCCCTTGCCATGTATTTCTCCATGCTGAAAACCCTTTGGCAGGAGATAGATCACTTAGAAACTATGGTGTGGGAAAGTGTAAATGATGCAGCAACCTACCAGAAACTGGTAGAGAAAAATAGGGTTTTTGAGTTCTTGGCAGGGTTAAATCCTGAATTCAATATTGCTAGGCAGCATATCCTTTCTAAGAGAGTATGACACTCTCTCAAGCCTATGCCTTTGTTTCTGGAGAGGAGAGCAAGAGGAATGTCATGCTAAGATAGCCTGGGATTGACCAGTTTGCTATGGTTAGTACAACCAAACCTAAGCCAAATGGAGACAGGGGGAGCAGTGAGACTAGGAGGGAGGATAAGAAGGACTTGGTGTGTGATTATTGTAAGAAGCCTAAGCATACTAGAGACACTTGCTAGAAGCTCCATCCACATCTCATACTTGCTCAGATCAGGAACAAGAAGGGAAATGCAAATGTGGCAGCTATAAGAGACTCTTCGGCCTCCCTTTCCCAAACTGATTGGGAGTCCATTGCAATAGCAACAGTTAGAACAGAATTGGAGAGGTTTGGACAGCTTATGAGTAAGAAAGATGCAACTAGTTCTAGCCCTTCAGATGGACAACAAAGTGTAGGAACCAACTACACCACCTCTTTTGCTCATATAGGTAGTTCATATGCAACTGCAAATTTTGCATCCACTTCAGATAAGGAGGGACCTCCCTAGATTATAGACTCAGAAACATTTGAGCACATGACTAATATACCTACCCTTTTTAATTCTTATCAGTTGTGCTCTAGTGGAGACAGAGTCTCTACAGCAGATGGTTCACATATTCCCATTGCTGGGAAGGGGACAATTAGAGTAACCAATGACATTACTCTATCTTTTGTCTTACATGTCCCTAGACTTCATACCAACCTTCTTTCTATTAGTTCTTTGACAAAAAATTTGAATTGTTCAATGACCTTCCTTCTTGGTAATTGCATTTTGTAGGATCTAGAGTCAAAGAAGATTGGGAATGGTCGTGAGGTGAATGGAGTCTACCTTCTAGATGAGATCCCAAGACATCAGAGTCACCATGTTAGCAGCAACAGTAATAGTGGATCAAAGTCAGAGAGTCAGATTATGCTCTGGCATAATCGGTTGGGTAATCTTTCTTTTAGTTAATTAAAATTCCTTTTTCCAAAGTTGTTTGAGTCTGTCCAGTTATCTACCTTAGAGTGTGAGAGTTGTCAGTTGGGAAAACATTGTAGACATTATTTTAAATCAAGTAATAAAAGAAGTACTTTTGCTTTTGATGTTGTTCATACTGATGTATGGGGACCATATCATATTCCTTCCATGGGTGGCTATTGTTATTTCCTCTTGTTTGTGGATGATTATACATAGTATTTGTTGAGCAAGAGCAAGTGAAGAGAGGAGAGGAGAAGAGAGAAGAGAGGTGAGTCGAGTGACTGAAATCCCTCCAAAACATAAGGGGCGAAAGAATGATTTTATTATTTATACTAGTACAGTCGAACAATATAAACAGAGGAGAAATTACAACAGTACCCTTATGGTACTAAACCTGAAT